ATGACGGTTGCCAAAAGTGATTTTATCTCCTCCCCCGAGAATTCGTCGAAGGAGGAATCCAACGATAAGGAAAAGAAAAACAACGGTGCAGAGGAAATTTATTCGAAGCATGTCATGTTTGAGAATACAGAGTGTGCGTATGCCTGTTTCCTGTTGCAAACGATCGCAGAATTACTGTTTTCCTATAAACCAGCCAAAACTGAGTTTTTGACGTTTTCAAAGAAGCAGAACGATCAAGTCACAATCGACAAACCAAGAAGCACAGCACTCAACTTGCTGCTGCACCAGTTTGTGTCCTCAGACCCATTCAACAACTCATCAGCAGCAGAAGTCAAGCGTCGCCGTCTGCTAACTCTTCTAGCGAGCGTCTGCATTGTTGCATTGGTTTCTTCAACACCAACCAAGGGAGTGAACTACGATGACCCAAAGATCACAGACCCCGATATGTCATTTGTGAGAAAGTTCACTGCAGACATTATCATCAAGGTAATTAAGGAAGCAAACGCGGGTTCTGACAGCGCATACAATCGGTATGGAAAGATTGTCGACGTGCTAGACCTCACATGCAAACTGCTTGGTGAAAAATTTGAGCTGAGCGTTTCTTCTGCCGTGGACAAGACTGTCACTCAGTACGATTCTTATTTCCTTGCTCGTGAGCTTCTTGAAAAAAAGCTGCCTCTTGCTCTCTCAAACATTCTTGCCGATTTGGATGTCAACTTCCCTCACACAGAGATGATTTCAGGCGGCATAATGCGCTGTTTGTCGTCCTTGGGGTCTATAAAGGTCTCGAAACAAGATCTTTTCCGTGAACAAGGCTCCGGGGATGCTGATGAAGAAGACATTGACGAGGAGGATTTGGATGAGCGTGAAGAGACCCCTGACCTTTTGAGGAACTCCACTCTTGGAATGTACGATCTGGATGATGTTGAAAACGAGGAAGACGAGGATGACGAAGAAGATTTCCTTGATGGAGACGACATTGAAATTGTGTATTCCGAGGATGAGGACAACGAGGATGAGGAGGAGCAGGACAATGAGGACGACGATGAAATGATGGAGTCTGATGTGGAAGTTTTGGAAGAAGACGATGACGAAGAAGATAGTGATGACTCTGCTGAAAATAGTGAAGGCTCTGTTGGCGACCTGCTTGACCGTGGTCAGTTTGTGATCGATATTGTCAGTGGGTCAGACGACGACATGGACGATTCAGAGATGGACGATCAAGACGAAGACGACTACGAGGATTATCCAGAGCATGAAATCGAGCTTCTTGCCGATGAAGACGATTTCGATGACGAGGACGACGATGAAAACGAGGACGATGAGGATATGAACAATAGCGATGACGATAGTGCCATTCTTGAGGAGTGGATCGCTGAGCACGAGAACAACGAGACACATCATCGTGGCTCTCATAACCGGCGTATTGCTTTACAGTCCCGCGCAAATGACTTCTTTGTTGACGAAGAATCCTCAAATGATGACGACAATGACATTTTCCATCGCTTCCACTCCAATCCATTCGATTCAAGAAATGACGATGAGGCTGAAATGCAGCTCCTGGGTGGAACATCCCTGATTCCGCCATCGGAAAGTTTGCGTGAGTCTGGCGACCGCTCCGGCTCAGTCTTTTTCCATCATTGGATTTTCCCAAGACAAGGCGGTGGAAGAACACAGATTCTTCCTGTCAACGGTGGACGACTCACGGACATTTTGCGTGCCCTAAATGGTCATTCTCCTTCACCATCGTCTAAGAAAAATCAACAGGTCCCCAACATATATATTAAGTCCACGGTTCAGAGATGGACTGAAACTGTTGCTCTCTTCTATGGAAAGCACTCAACCAAGTACGCTTGTCGTGTCATCCCAAGTATTGTGAACAGGATATTCGAGAAGAGTATGAAGATTGCCAACGAAGAAAGACGCAAAGAGGAGGAAAGACAGGAAAAAATCCGTAAGGCTGCCGAAGAGAAAGAGGCTAAACGTAAGGAGGAAGAAGCAGCAGCTCAAGCCCGTGCCGAACAGGAAAGAGAAAGTAGGGCAGAGGATCCTGACAGAGAACCAGTTTATGTTAACATCGCCGGTCGCGAAGTTGATATCAGTGGAACTGACATTGATCCTGAATACCTACAAGCTTTGCCGGATGATCTTCGAGAAGAAGTTTTCGCACAGCATATTCGTGAGAGAAGAGCTGAGGCCACTACCAGTGGAAACCAAATTCCTGAGATTGATCCGGCGTTCATGGCTGCTCTTCCTGACGAGCTGCGTAACGAGATCATGCGTGACGAATACCATGCGTCGTTCGAAAGCCGTATTATGCGATCTTTGGGCGAAGGGGATGCTGAGTTCGACGATGAGGACGATAACGAAGCTGTGATTGAAGATGAAGAGGAGGAAGAAGAAGCACAAAAGAAACATCACCAGAAGATTTTCTTCTCTCCAATGGTTGATAAGTCTGGTGTTTCTGCGTTGCTCAAGATGATATTTGTTCCACAGTTATACTACAAGCGTGAGAGCTTTTTCCGCACTTTGGGGTATCTATGCTACAACAAACAAACCCGGAGCGAGATCGTCACAATGTTGCTCTATATTCTTCAAGAGGGAATATCTGACCAGCTAGCATTGGAGGCGACTTACCAACAACTTTGTCAGAGATCACACACTCAATCGCAGAACGACCATTTTGCTTCACCTGTCAAGTCGGCTCACACGACCGCATCCCCATCATATAACAGAAGTGGTAGTTTTCCAATTGGCTGCACAACCTTGACAGTTGCCACTCAAGCGATCGACGTTATTCAGTACCTGTTGGAGAATGAGAACCACATGAGATTCCACTTTTTGATGGATCAGGACAATAATCCATTGATGAAGAAGTTAGCGAAAAAGCATAAGTGGAAGGACAATAGCTACAAGTATCCAATCAACATATTGTTGAATCTGTTGGACAATCCATTAATCAAAGAAGACACTAACCTGATGGATATATTATCACGCACTTTCCAGATTGCTACCCGACCATTACAGGCAATTCGTTCCAAGCTTACTGAAATTAGTGATTCAGACAAAAAACAGTCTAAGGCTCCTCAATTGCCTTTCATTCCCGATAGAAATCTGAAACTGATCATTAACATTCTGGTTGCGGATGAGTGTGCAAGCAAGGTGTTCCAGCAGACTATTGCCTCAATTCAGAACCTCTCTTTGATTGAAAATGCGAAGATAGTTTTCCCAAGGGAACTGTCCAAAAAAGCCACAGCTTTGAGCCAAAAGATTGCTGACGACCTTAGAATTTTGATTGAAGAAATGAAGAGCGATCCTGATAGTGAAGATATCCCATCGCTCAGCAATTTTGCTAGTGGTTCGTCTGATCAGGCCAAGCTTTTGCGTGTTCTCACTGCATTGGATTATCTCTTCCAGACAAAGCAAAACAAACCCAACGAGTCGTCTGAGGTGGATGAATTGAAAGAATTATATAAGAGTTCTGCTCTTGGACCTCTTTGGGGAGCTTTGAGTGACTGTCTGTGCATTCTTAGAGACAACCAGAACCTGGCCCATGTTGCCACCATCTTATCTCCACTGATTGAAGCTTTGATGGTTGTCTGTAAACATAGCAAGGTTGAAGATTTGCCGGTCAGAGATGTGTTAAGATACCAAGAGAAGGTGTACGATTTCACAAGTGAGCCAATTGAAAGTCTATTCTTTTCATTCACCGAGGAGCACAAGAAAATCTTGAACCAAATGATCAGGAACAATCCAAAACTGATGAGTGGTCCGTTTTCTGTTTTGATCAGAAACCCTAAGGTGTTGGAGTTTGATAACAAGCGGATTTATTTCGAGCAGAAACTCCATCACGATGATGGTGACAGGCCAACATTGCCTGTGAATGTGAAGAGAGAACAAGTGTTTTTGGACTCCTATAGAGCGCTCTTCTTCAAATCTCCGCAAGATATTAGAAAGTCGAAGCTCGACATTCAGTTCCGTGGCGAACAAGGTGTCGATGCCGGTGGATTGACTAGAGAGTGGTACCAAGTTCTTTCGAGACAAATGTTCAATCCAGACTATGCCCTCTTCACCCCTGTTGCCTCTGACAAGACTACCTTCCATCCTAACAGAACTTCCTGGGTGAACCCTGAACATCTCTCGTTCTTCAAATTTGTGGGTATTATCATTGGTAAAGCTGTTTACGATGGATGCATGCTAGACTGTCATTTCAGTCGTGCGGTTTACAAGCAAATTCTGGGCCGTCCTGTCTCCCTGAAGGATATTGAGTCACTCGATCTCGACTACTATAAATCGTTGATTTGGATGTTAGAGAACGACATAACCGATATCATTGTCGAAACATTCTCTGTAGAGACCAACGACTACGGAGAAGAGAAAGTGATTGACCTAAAGCCAAATGGCCGAGACATTGCAGTCACAGAGGAAAACAAACATGAGTATGTTCGACTGATTGTCGAATACCGTTTGAAAACCAGTGTTCAGGAACAGATGGATAATTTCCTAAAGGGTTTCTACGAGATCATTCCAAAGGATCTGATAGCTATTTTTGATGATCAGGAGCTTGAACTTCTGATTTCCGGTCTCCCAGATATCGATGTCGATGACTGGAAAAATAACACAGAGTACCAAAACTATTCCGCATCCTCGCCTCAAGTCCAGTGGTTCTGGAGGGCCGTGAAGTCGTTTGATGCTGAAGAGAAAGCCAAACTGCTGCAATTCGCTACCGGAACCAGTAAGGTTCCTTTGAATGGATTCAAGGAGCTGCCTGGTATGGTTGGTGTTTCGAAATTCAGTATTCACAGAGTGTATGGATCCACCGACCGGCTTCCATCTTCTCATACTTGTTTCAACCAGATTGATCTTCCAGAGTACGAGAGCTACGAAAAACTTCGCGGTTCGTTACTGTTGGCTATCATGGAAGGCCATGAAGGATTTGGCTTTGCCTGAAATATATAAATAAAAAATAATCTAGTATTTAATTTATTTATTTTTTTACCATGGCCAAGAGGCCAGTACACCATGAAACGGTCGACAAGCGGCCAAAACGAGAGAAAGTTTCCGCATCAGAGCCGTCGGAGCTTGAAAAGGTGGGGATTCACCCGTTGTTGAGAGGTACGACGAATGTCCCTACCAACTATAATCCATTAAAACAGCCTCGAAAGCGAGAAGGTTTTGTTGTTAACCCATACATTGACCAAAAAGACATCAGATATTCGCGACCGAGACGAGAGTTCCATTTGAACGAGAAAGGCAAGTATGTTGAGCGCGCAAACGAAATCAGACGGCGGCTGGAGGAGGAGAAACGGGAACAGGAAGAACAAAAGGCATTGGCTGCACAGGGACTTACGCCAGATGAAACAACGGGTGAGCAGTATTTTCTTCCCGTCCGGCCACCGGCAATTGAATGGTGGGATCAGCCGCTTCTCAACGAGCGACGGTATGGAGAAGAGCTAAAAGTCAAGTATATTGACAAAGATGATCTGAAAAACCCGATAACCGAGTATGTCCAGCATCCTGTTCCGGTGATGGCACCGTGGGAAAAACACTTGGCTCCGCCAAAACCATTGTACTTGACAAAGAAGGAGATTAAACGACTGCGGAAGAACGAACGACAGATGAAACTGAAAGAGAAGCAAGACAGAATGAAGCTTGGACTCGATCCAACTCCTGCTCCTAAAGTGAAGTTGAAAAACCTGATGAATGTCCTGACCAACGACGCGATCAAAAACCCGACAGAGGTGGAAATGCGTGTGCGGCAGGAGATAGAGGAGCGCAGACGACAGCACGAAGCAGCAAATATGGAGCGACACGCCAACAAGGAAGACAAAGCCTCAAAGATGGCACGGAAGTTTGAGAAAGATCTACAAAAAGGCTGCTTCTCTGCTGTTTTTGCGGTAGAAAGCCTCGAAAACAACCAACACAGATATAAGGTCAACATCAATGCCAAGCAGCTGGAACTGAAAGGCATGTGTTTGAACATGGAAAATGGTCAAACCCTCATTATTGTCGAAGGTGGGGAAAGATCAGTGAGCAAGTATAAACGGCTCATACTGCACCGGATCCAATGGGGCGTCAAATGCGAACTAGTCTGGGAAGGCCAGCTAGTCGATCTGCACTTTTCAAAATGGACAATGTATAATTTCTCAGACGAGGAGGAGATCCTAGCTTTACTGGCCAAGTTCAGACTGGAAAATTACTGGACACAAGCCAAAAATATCATTGATAGCTCCTAAACAGCTTTCTATTTACATTACTCCTCGATCTTGGCAAGCAGATCAGAGTCTCTGAACATCAGGTATTCCTCATCGCCAACCTTGACATTGGCGCCGCCATATGGTGGGATGAGAACCTTGTCGCCGGCATTGACGCTCACCTTGACCAGCTCACCGTTCTGGTTGGTAACACCTGGACCAACAGCAATCACGTTGGCAATGTTCAGCTTCTCCTGGTTCTTTTCTGGGATGTAGATTCCGGAGGCGGTTTTTTGGGAAGGCTTGACTCTTTGGACAAGAATTCTGTCCAGAGTAGGGATAATCGATTTGGCAGACTTGAGGAAGGACTATATGTCAGCAATGGTATGTGGAGGAGCTACTTACCATTGAATGAAATTTCTCGAAATTTTCTAAACTCGGGCCAAATAAAAGTGATACTGCGCAGTGTGATGTGTATTACGTAACCGCTGACGTACGCCACGCTCTCTTCGAGCCAACCAAAATAATCTATTTAGATTATCGATATTTCCAGATGGCTGCTCCATACGTTATTTTCGGCGCAAAAGTCCCCCCACACTGGGTAAGTAAGCCATTGGCGTGGCCACTAACATCATAGCTTGCTATTGGCACCATTTTGACCGTGGTCGGAGGAATTTACGGCCCTAAGGCTTTTTCGTCGCCTGCTGCTGCTCCAGCTGCCACTCCAGCCGCTGTCCAATCCTCCGAGCCTGAGCTGGATGTTGAGAAGGCAATCAAGTAAGTTGAACCATTGGATGACTAACGACAGCGATTTCCTTGCATCTGATAAAAAGGAGTAGGTGTGACTAGATAAATTCATAAACATGACACAATCATGAGATACTGTCAGTAGGACGCAATTGCGTCACCTAGTAGGGCTGAAATGACTGCACTGGCTCTTTAATGGTAGATATCAAGGGCGAGGTTTGGCCTAATTTTTGCACCCCACAAAAATACCTAGCTGTCTTTTTATTTTTTGTAAACTATGCTCATTCTGGCCATCGGAGACCTGCACATCCCTGAGCGAGCAGTCGACATACCGCATAAGTTCAAGAAACTCCTACAGCCTACGGGAAAGATCCAGCAGGTTTTGTGTCTGGGAAATGTGACTAATTCGCAATCGACGTTGGATTTCCTCAAGTCGTTATCACTGGATTTCCAGATGGTGAAAGGCGATCTTGACCAGGACTACAATCTTCCGCTTTCGTTGGTCTTCAATCACGATAAGCTGAAAATTGGCCTTGTGAATGGCTTCCAGATAGTCCCTAAAGCGGACCCTTTGAGTCTTTTATCTCAAGCTCGACTGATGAACGTGGATATACTGATATATGGTTCAACACACAAGGTTGAGGCTTACACGCTTGACGGACGGTTTTTCGTCAACCCTGGTAGTGCCACTGGTGCATTCAGCACGAGCAAGATGGATCAGGAGGACGTGGATACGGTGGAGGCATATCTAGCAGAAGTGAACGGAAAGATAGGGCAAGGAGAGGAGAAGAAAGAGGCTAGTAATGATGAAGACAAAAAGGACGACAAGAAGGAGGAAGAGAAGCCAGAGAGTGGCAAGCCGGAAGAGTTTGTGGAGATCGAAGAGTACATGGATCCCGTTCCCAGCTTCTGTCTTCTGGACATCCAAGGCTCTGTGTGCACGCTGTATTTGTACACATTGATCGACGGCGAGGTGAAGGTGGACAAGCTGACCTACAGAAAAGAGGAGCAGGAATAAAAAGGGACAATGGGCGAGCTTGGAAAATAGGGCAGCTTCCGCATGTGTAAAATCTATTGTGCTGGCGAGGATTAGAGAAAATCTTGACCGAAAAATTTTTTTAGTACTCTTTTTTATATTCATCTTTGTATTTGTCAGAAGACGGATGGAAAGATCAATCACCATTATGATGACCAGAGTGCATTTGGCTCGAGACTGGCCAGGGGGCGTTGTGTCCGCTGGTCGTGTTGATGTGGAAAAAAACACGCTACCTAACTAACTTTGTCTGAACCGTGATGATCTCCCATTTCTTCTGTCAACTCTAACGTGAACTGGCCAGCATTCCAGCATATGCATGTACGTGTTTTCCTAGATTCTAGTTTAGTTTGCCGAGCCCCTCCTCTAGTATACTTTCTAGTAAGTCCTCATCCAAGTTATCCTCGACACCTCCCTGGAACGAGCTCGGCACAAGCTCCGACAACACCAGGTTTTTCTTCATGTAGTACGCATCCTCCTTGTCCTGGTAGTACGATTTCTCAATGCTCAACACCTCGAACTTGAGAGTATCTTTGTATAAATGCAATGCTGCCCTGTTACTCTTTCTGACGTGCAAAGAGACGTATTTTGCATCGTAGTTCTCGCACAGACTGTATAGACACTGTCTCATGAGCTTCTCCGCGAGTCCCATCCGCCTATACGTGCGCATCACCGAGAGAGAGGTCACATGTCCATGGGGGGTTTTATCTTCCGATTCAGGGTCATCGTCCATTTTTCCAAGCACATAGCCGACGATCTTCTCTCCTGGCGCAACATACTGCATGTCGCGCTTGGTCTCGTGTGCAGAGGGTTTATCCTGGTGATCGAGTTCTGGGTCGGTAGTCGTCGCCACGAACGATGCCTGGGGCCACGAGAGCAGGTGGTACAGATAGTATTTCATTGTGTAGTTCTCCGGCAAATTGGTGAGGTTTGCATTCTGCATGCCTTCGAGGTCTTCGATGGTGGCCTGTCTGATGGTGATGGCCATGGTGATTAAAAAAAATAAAACTTGCAATCTGCAAATAAAAAAAATACTAATATTCATGTCCAAAATCGCCTCCGGTTACGATCCAGCAGTTGGTCCGCGCACAACAGGAACGACTACGGTCATTCGTCCGCGGTCATCGATATACGACAGGAATCTCCACCGTGCAAGACACGACATCAGTGTGTCCAGCTTGAGCTTTCTGTTCATGGAAATGGTGTCGATGAACCTGAACCAGGCAAAAAGCCTGATCGAACTTGAGCGGAAACTTAACAATCTTGGATATTCCATTGGCACCAAAGTGCTGGAGCTGGCCTCGCTGCGTGAAAACTTCAACAACAACCTCACCTCTTCTGGGAAGTCGAACGTGTCGAAACGAGAAATTAAGGTCCTGGATATACTGCATTTCATCACTTCTGTTATATGGCCCAGTCTTTTCGAAAAGCCGGCAGACAATCTGGAAAAATCGTCCGAGTCCAATTGTCAGTACATGATCATTGACAACGCCCCTGTCTTGATGAAATATATCTCTGTGCCAAAAGAGTATGAAGGACTAAATTGCGAGGCCTTTGTGGCAGGCATAGTGGAGGGAATACTAGACTCAACTTTCTTCAAGTGCGAGGTTAGTGCGCATACAGTCCCAGTGGAGGGCCACCTGGGCAGAACAGTATATTTGATCAATTTCGACGAGGAACTGATTGCGCGTGAAACTCAATAGATGCATGTACCATAATAGCTAGCTTTTCATTCTGAATCCTCAATTTTATTTGTCTCCCTTTTTTTTCTCTTGTTCGACATGACGACAGTATTCAAAGATTCGACAAGGCCCAGAAGAGGTAAGTGAGGATTACAAAGTACTAACAAAGTGTACAATAGACGCTCCAATGTGCTGAAACCAAAGTCTACGAATATCATCACCCCCAGAACAAAAGCCTATGAGGTACTGTCTATGTCTCCTGAAACGTCCAAGGTGATCGGCCAGTCAACTTTGGACGACCTTCCTGGAGCCAGAACTCCGCCAATGGTGGTGTACAGCTCAAGCTCCGTATTGAATGAGAACAATCTTTCTGTGACATCCACTCCTTTCCGAACACCCATTGTGGAGCTTCCCGAGAGTGTTGATAGCGAGCAAAGCAAGGACAGTAAGTTTGCGGACTTCCTCAGTCGTTTCGAATCGAAAAGCTCAAAGGCTACTAAAAAAGTAGGCTTTGAAGACCAAAAAGACCACACAAGAGAAACGAAAACATTTAAAAATGCCAAAAAGCAGAGCAAGCCTAACTCCGGAGGTCTTCTGGGTCTCAATCAGTCCAATCACCCAATAACACGATTTCTTACTATTGACCGCGAGAAGCTCAGGAGATGGACTCGCCGTGACTTTGAGCTCTTTGTGAGTTTCAGAATAACAGCCTTAAAAACGAGTATTATATGCTCTCGTGGCCCAGTCGGTTAAGGCGTCAGTCTCATAATCTGAAGATCGCGTGTTCGATTCTCGCCGAGAGCAGTTTATTTTTAGTTATTTTTTTGTCACCCCACAATCGATCTGTAGGCTATGCATTATGGTAACGCCATATTGTGGCCCATTCCCCAGATCGCCCCCTGAACTGACCAACAGAAATGATTCCGCCTTACACGGGGCAAGTTTAGCTTAAAGTTGATTGCTCCCCAAATTTTTCCCCACTAGCCACATCCCGTGCTGCGCAAAATGCGCATGAGTTGAGTCAGGCTCAACTATTTTCTCAATTCCACAGATTTTGATTAACCAAGATTGCCATGCCTAACTCTTTCTTCCCAGGCTCACCAACATTGCGAACACCAGCATCCCCTACGATCCAGACACGGCAAAGCTCAATTGTTGAGATGCTATCCAGCCCACCACCAATTGAACATCTGGAACTTTCTTCTGTGGACAACTGCTTGTCAAGTCCTGGGTCGCCCGGTAGCCAGTCTATTACTTTGGGACAGCAGCTACAGCATCACAGCGGCTCCCACTTGTCATTGTCGAGAAATCCATCCATGTCCAGTTCCAATTCCACATATTTGGGAGGAACTGCGGTTGAATGGCAACATATTCAATTGGGCGAACTTGTGGAACAAAATAAGCTTATCACGGTAAACTCCAAGATTTCTGTTGAGAAAGCCTTCGAAACGCTGGTAAAGAACAACCTCACCTCTGTGCCCGTAGAGGAATACGAACATGACCCAAATTGTTTGACGTTCGATTACACGGATTTGAACTCGTATTTATTGTTAGTCTTGAACAAATTGAAGCCCGAATCTTTATTGCAGATCAACTATGAGCCAAAGGAAGAGATTCCAGAGCTTATCAAGCGTGCTCAGTGTGGAGAGCAAGTCCCTGTCTCCTTTGTCATTCGCCTCACAAACAAGAATCCGTTTATCAAATTGCGCGAACAAGACACCTTGTCCACCGTGGTAGAAATCCTGGGAACAGGTGTTCATAGAATTGCCATCACCAGGGATAATCAGCTGACAGGAATATTATCTCAGAGGCGGTTGGTGAAGTTCTTATGGGAGAACGCAAGGAGGTTCCCTTCAATGGAGCCTTTGCTTAATTCGTCCATCCAGGCCCTCAACATCGGGTCCTCAAACGTCATAAGTATCTACGGCGACCAGCTATTGATTGAAGCTCTAGTCAAAATGCATGATTTGATGATCTCGTCTTTGGCTGTTATTGACAGAAACAACCAGCTCTTGGGAAACATCTCTGTGACCGATGTCAAGCTTGTGTCCAAGTCGTCGAAAAGCGATCTGCTTTACAAATCCTGCCTGCATTTTATTTCTGTGATTCTGAACTCCCGTGGCCTTGAAAACGGTAAGGATTCGTTCCCTATCTTCCATGTTACCACGTCGTCCTCTCTTGCTCGCACAATGGCCAAGTTGGTGGCCACACAGTCCCATCGTTTATGGATAGTGAAACCGGACACCCAGTCCTCGATATCGTCCGCGTCCTCTGGTCAGGCGCCTCCTTTGGAGTCAAAGAGCATGTCGCAATCTCCATCGTCAGTTTCCGTTCATCAGCAGCCTTCTCCTGTGTCGGAGTTTGGTGAATCTCGCAGTATGGGCAGACTGGTAGGAGTTCTTTCTCTCACTGACATTTTGTCCTTGCTGGCTAAGACGCTAGGAAAGGAGCACGTTGAACCATCGATTGCACGAAAGCAGAGAAGAAGATCCAGCAGCAGCGCCAGCAGCAGAACCACCTCTTCACTCGAGATGTTCAGAAAGAGTGTTAGTGACCCTGCCGATAGATGAGTCAGAGTCCACTGTGCACTGCAATCTGATACTTGGTACTGGTCTGCTGGGTACGTTACATAAATTATAATATACATAAATTATTTGCTCTGCTGTGTGTGTCTACGCTTTTCGGAAGACGGCTGAGGCAGGGCTCTTTTAGTTGGCGAGGAATGCGGTGTTTTGCGATTTTTCGATTCGCGCAGGGGCTGGTTAATCAGCCTTTGCAATTCTGGAAGTCCTGGCACAGGCTTGTGCAGTTTTGGGGGAGGTAAGACTTGATGGAGGTCTGATAAACTTTCCTTGATCTGGCCCATTGTCAATTCGAGTTTTTTGTTTGACGATTGTAGCGATTCATAGGACGTGAGTATCTTGTTTTGTTTCTCAGACTGTTCGGCCACGTCTGTATTGGTGGCTGCTACACAGTTGTTCAGATTAGCTAGCTTGGCTTTTTGGTAGTTCAAGTATCCAACATTTGCCTCCAGATGCGACTGAAGAGATGATGCGCACTGGTCCACCGATGACAACACTTTGACGTTACGGTCAGCCAAAGTTTCCGCGAGCGTGGAATTATTCATGGCCCATTTAGTCTGCTCCTCGGAAATTTTATCCTTGGTGGAATTGAGTACCACTTCGATGGTTGTTTGCGTCAGATGCTTGGAAAATTGCGAGAACTGAGAAATAAGCTGGGACTTCATCTCTTCTATCATTTTCTCTGATTCGGCGGCGACATTTTGCACGATCGGCTTATCGTCAAACACAGTACGTAGATAGTGATCGAACTTGGTATCGTTGTTTTGTGATTCGCTAATTCCTGATCTCAGTAAGCCCAGCTGGTTCTTGAGTTCACTGAAAACTCTATCCAACTCGCCTCTGAAAGCACGTAGCTCTTCGGTTTTCTCAAGTATTCGGTTTGTGAGCATTTGTTGCTCTTTTCCAATGGTCTGCAATTGTTCAGAGATCTTCTCGCCCAATTTGGCGACGCCAAAATCATCACCATTCTGGGATTTTTTCGCAACATGTTGCATCACCGGCATGATCAGTTCCTCAAGCTTCTCATTCAGCTTCTTCTGGTACCGGCTCTGACTATTCATCATTTCTTCTGATTCCTGGTTGCAATGCTCAACGACCTGTTGTGTTAGTTTTATTACATTCACTTCTCGAGATCGCTGACTCTCCAGAGCACTTTCAAGCTGAGAAAGTCGCTCTTCCATTGCTTTCATGCTCTGGAGGCTCTTGAGCTTTTCCCTTCTTTCATCTTCCAGAAGATGTGCGTTCTCGTTGGCTTGCATCGTCAGAAGCTCGTTTTGACGTCTTAGTTCCTCTGTTTCACTGGTGAGGTTCTTGTAATTAATCATGAGCTCATTGTAGTTGGACTCGTTCAGGTACACTCCTTCCTTGTTTCTTGTGGCCTTTAAGTCAAGTTTCAGACGATAATTTTCGTCGACAAGCTCTTTGAGCAGCACTTTGTCCGATATCAAAGGCCCGATTTGGGCTGTATTTCGGATATCCTTGGCCTTAGTAGCATACTCTAAAGTGCTAGTGGTAGCTTGCGTATCCACACCAGCAGGAGAGATGTTGGCAACTAACACGGTCTTTGTCTTTCCTCCAAGCGAATCCTGTAGCAACCGCGTAAGTTTGGATTCCCTGTACGGAATATAGCTGCTCTTGTCGACCAAAGCGTTAATGACTCTGCCCAATGTGAGAAGCGACTGGTTGATGGAGCCCGCTTCCTTTGCGCGCTGGTTTATCGCCCCTGACCTGCTGATGTTCTCCGACCCAGCCAGATCCACAAGGTTCATTTTGGCATACTGGTACTCTGAGTCATTTTTCTTTTGGATCAATGTGATGCTGAAAATTGTGTGCGACCGACTAGACAAATCATTCATCTTGGTAGCTGCCGTTTGGCGACGTTCCAACCCCTTTTTCAAAAGCTCCAGCCCCTCTCCAGCCTTGCGAATGTGATGCTCCTCAAGACCGTCGATCCTGATACCGTTTCCGCTCGAGTTCTTGCGCTCGAAGATGCGAAGACGGGCGTTTTTTGTATCTCCAAGCAGATCTTTCAGCTCCTCGTTGTAAATCTCAACAAACGAGCATTTAATCATAAAGTCATTGTCCACGCATTCAAATAGCTTGCAAAGTACGCGCGGCACGAGCCCTGCATCTCTTCCCGGTTCCTTGTCGCTGATGTCTCCACACATGGTGTACGTTTTCCCGGATCCTGTTTGACCGTAGGCCAGGATCGTGCAATTGTAGCCTTTCAGGAACTCGCTGACCAACGGCAGACCAACGTCACGGAAAAACACTGTTTGATCGGCCGCAGGACCAAAGGCTTGATCCACAGTATAAACTCTTGTGTCTGCAACTTGGCTGGTAATGAAATCCTGCGATGTGTTGACACTGACCTGGTTCGCGCCCGACTGGTCCGGAATACGTACCACCACAGGGCTCTTCATTTGCAATTCGCGCTCATTTCGTCCTCGACAGCGCACAATAACGCTGATGGACTCGGTAGACATAAAGTAAACAATAATATTTATATTTCGCGTACGATACAAATAACACTAATAAATATTTCTCGGTTTAGGTGAAGAGAAATGAGAACTCTGTTTTTGTGAAAAATTGCTGGTCGTAGCTTTCATCAAGCGTGAACACCTTTCCGGAAGGACTTTTGTACCGAAGCTGTCGCTGCGTCCAGATCTTTTTCACTTTGCTGATGTACATTTTCACACTCTTCAGTCCAAAGGCTAGTAGCGTATGCAGCAGACAGTCCACCAACACCTTGTCCACTGCATCAATGCAGCAATAGGCACACATAATTAGACACCATTGGAACATTGCGATACGATGGTCCATGTCGATGTTTAGGAATTCATCGAAATCTATTCCTTGGAGGCTCGAGACATGCTTTTGACACAGCGTCTCCAACTCCTCGTCGTCGAGGAAAATCGTGCTGCTGCTTTCGTTGCATTGAAGTTCCGGAGCTGTTTCTTCAAGCATAATAGGCGAGTTGTAATATCTCTCTAGGTCTGTGATATCCTTGTGCTTTCGCTGGATAAAGAAAGAGCACGATTCCAGTACTTTCTTCAGCAGCCGCTGAACCACTGGATTGCTAACCTTGCAGCCTAGGAATTGTTCGGACGTCAAAACATACAAGTACAGTGTTTCCAGCCGGATGTTCTGGGTGAAGTCGTAGAACGAAAACCAGCTGTATCGCTCAAAATCATTCTCTAAGGATTCTGAGCTCATGAAAAATTGACGCAATTTTACAGACGTCATATGATAGTATCCTGAGATGGAGAGTTGCGTCTTGTCGGCACCCTTATATAAAGGGTGGTATTTCGAGTCGATCGGAATCATGTACGGCCTTTTGTTGGTCACCACGCGGAACTGTTTGGCTTTGTCTATCACTGAAAAAATATGTGCTATGGTGAACGGATCGATCTTCTCGTTCCTTTTTGCAGCCACAATCTCCTTCGCCACCTCCGCCGTGCCGTCGCTGTACCCCAGATACATCTTGAACCCGCCTTCGCAGAAACTGTCGCCAATGTATCCGTCTAAAACCATTCCCATTTTGCTGAGCTTAGAGAGTGGTCCGTGATTCAGTGGAATTGGAATCCAGGTGGTCAGCTCGTCCAAATCCAAGCTGCTTGCACCCGCAGAGGCTATTCCTGAGGAGATTTCCAGCGAACAGAAAAGGTAGCGTGCGAGAATCAGCGAATCGGAGTCAATGCTCTTTTCTCCCATGAATTTCCCCAGAAATTGTTTTGCTCCGCGAAGATGCAACGACCAGCGATAGTCTCTATTGGAGGACAGATCTGCGGCCAAAATCAAACTTGTGAGCAGCGCAGGTTCCACCTTCTCGTCAGAATTGTCTATGTTCTCTAGTATATCCCTGAGCGACTGAAAACAAACGGAAAGGTAGTGCACACGGTATTTGTCGTTGATATCGATCTGGGTATCGAGCTCGGCGATGTAAGTCTTGTCAGCTTGGCTACCATACTTTGACAAATGTATCTCCTTGTCAATCCGCGCTTTTTCTGTGAGAAAACGGGCTCCCGATGCCAGCATTGCATTGAGTAGATAGTTACTTTTCTGAGCTTCTGCTAGAAAGGTGACAATGAACGGTGAGTCCAGGTAGGAGGTTGCCAAAGGAAACAGAATCAAGTGCACATCCTTCACAAATGCCTGTAGATGCAGTGACTCAAATGTACTGATATGCAGCGAGTTAGCAATCTTGTTCAGGTCTCGCTCATCAAAGCTTTGCCTAAGATTATAGAGATAGTCGTACCGCAGCACCGAATCAGAGGTCAATGAGTTGCTGTCTGAGGCCTGCCTTGCTCGGTTATCAAGCTGGAGACTTGAAAAGTCGTATTCTGGTAGCAATGATTGAAGATCCGTGCTATTATTATCATTCTCGAAATATTCCGACAGCCCAGCTATCCCCCCAAAAAGCATCTCCTGGTTCGCCAACAGATTCGATAGCCCTTCGGTGACAGACTTGTTCGTGTCATCATTTGACTCTGGTTCAGATTCCGGCCTCGATTGAGGCACGAGCTGGACTTCAGGCTTGGGTTTTGTAGAACTGACACCCTGAAATTTGAAGACTCTGTAATAAATGCATTCTGCGCCAATTTTTACACATCGTCCGCAGGTGGGGAATGTCTCGTCGCACTTGACCTTACGCTTTTTGCAGGCCAAACAACCATTTCTTGAGTATTTCTGACGCTTTCGAACAGGATTCTGTTTCTCTGGGGCCATACGATGATTTACGATAAGGATTTTTTTTCCGAGCAAAAATAAATAAATCCATCTAAAATCAGTATAAATATAAAAGCTCCAGCTCCTTAATCTTGGTTGCCGAACAAAAAGTCAACGATCCGGTTGTACCAGCGCTTCACTGGTTTTCCGTGGATGGCCTCCATATGGGCCAGATGTCTCTCATGCGCCTCGACCTCCTCAAGGCCGCTCACCAAATCGACATCCAGCGGATTCACGTATTTGGTCCGCTTGAAAATCTTCCAAAATAGGTATAACCCTGCGTCGACAAAGATCATAAGGTAGCAAAAAAGGAACGTCTCCACAGACCAATCTCCAGGCAGAAAGACCTCGTAGCCCTGCACCCAGACCATGCAAAAGATAGCAAAGAAGGCGGCGATAGAAATGTATGGTTGCCACCACGCCTTGAAAGTAAATGCGTCCCTATCAATGCCCTGCTTCTTGACTGCTCTTCTGAAGTGCAAGTACGTAACGAGAATACTCAGGAAGTTGATCATCTGGGAAGCTGTCACCAGGTTGACAATCCAAGAGAGCACGGTAGCAGAGTTCTCACCCAGTTGGAGAAATGCAAGGAATCCCCAGCACAGCGACAAAAGCACCGCGTAGATTGGCACACCGGCCTTGTTGCAGTACGAGAAGATTCTTGGAGCCTTGCCTTCCAGCGACAATCCGTAAAGACTTCTAGAAGAACAGTAGGTGTAGGAGTTGCCTGCAGAAAAAGCGGCAGTGAGTAGTAACGCGTTCACGATGTGCGGCAGAATTCTCACCTTTAGGTTGTTCATAGCAATAATATAAGCAGAGGCACCTGCGCCAGTGGTTCCCTGTTCAATAGCTGCCACAAGATTGGGGTCATTCCAAGGACACACGGTACCCATGGCAAGACTTCCTCCGACGAAGAAAATAGTCAGTCTGTAGGCCACCTGTTTGAATGCGGATGGAAGAATCTTTCTTGGATTCACGACTTCACCAGCAGACATAGAGACATATTCAGGTCCAGCAATCAGGTACGAAAAAGTAATCAGGGCTCCCAAAAAAGATTGGAAGCGGCCAAGGTCACCTGTGTGGATATATTCCGCGATTGGCGGTTGCCAATTACGGAACCCATAAACGTCATGGATAGGGTTGCCTCCCACCATGGTGACAAAGGTGAACATCATGAGCCCCAGAGCTAGCATCACTTTCCCGATCGACAGCCAAAATTCTGTTTCTCCATAATATTTCACCGCACTGATGTTGATCAGAAAATACAACACGAGCTGTATAGCAATAGGAATGGCAGGAGAGTAGTCGTTTCTCCAGAAGTGGATCAGAGTGTTGAACAGAGTGAGTTCAAATGGAATCAGCGCACACTCAAGGACCCAGAAATTCCATCCTGTCATGAAGCTCAAAGCCTCGTCCACACATCTCTCTGATAATCTGATAAAGGGCGACGGAATTGGCAAGTAGCACACCATTTCTGCGCAGGCTGCCGTGACGGCCAAAATCGGCATACTCCAGACCACGCAGCCCAAAAACAGAGCGAGTGGTCCGCTCTTGTGCAGCTGCGTTGACAGGTTGACAAACAACCCGACTCCAATGGTGCCTCCAATACCAATAAGTTGGATGTGTCTGTTTTTCAGACTTCTGTGGGTGTGGCCAACATCGTAGATATCCACCTCAGAGGAGAGATCCGTCTGCAACTCGTAGTTGAGAACGTTTTTCTCGTCCTCCACCGGTTGTCCGTCAACAGGAGCAGAAGTCGATCTCGCGATTTCGACAGTTCTGCCCTCCTGGGACTTTCCCGCAGGCTTCACAGGAGGAACAGGGACAAAGACGTCTTTTAAGAACTGGGTTACCTTTGACATGAATCAGTTTAGGTCAAGATGAGAAAACGTGACAGAAAGGACCCTTGGAAATTTTTTCGCTGCGTCCCAAGCCTTATATACTTCCGGACGTCTGCAAGAGGGATGTTGTGGCTGCTTCAAGCTATAATGTCCAAGTCCGCTTACAAACCGTTGTTATTCAATTCGATGAGGAATATTGTCACTGATAAGGCAATTACGAGATAATGCACGATCCTATCAGTGATGGAGAGCCCATTAATTGTGAGCTTCTCCGCATTGCGACGTCTTTTCAAAAGTTGGCGTATTACGTAACGTGCCAGATGTGCATGACTTTGGACGGTCGGGGTCCGTCTTGAGAAAATTCTTCGTAAAGACCCATGGACACTGCTCAGCCTCTGAGAAAGCTAGTATATGTAGATGCCTGCTATTCTGCATGAGATAAGATGCGATGTACACGCCTCGCAAAATTCCGACGTCGTCTCGGAAACACTGCCCTGCGATATCTGTCAAACTTCCGAAATCGGAAACTAAGTCGCGGAATCGACAAAGCCACCCCTCGACCGTTTGGACAGCGAGGGCCATGTTTGCGCTGGCCTCGGAACTATTCCGACACCATCCACTCCTATATAAACGGGACTGAGCCTTGTAGGTGTCCGCACGAGCACAATGTCCGAGCTCCCAAAAACTGTTCCTGCTACATGGTACACCAGCGACAAATTCATAGAGGCGGCCAAGCACAAGATCTACAATAAGGGCTGGCACTTTGTGTCTATTGTTAACGCGTTTTCCATGCACCCTGAGCTGAACGACGGGCTGAAAGAGGCGTTGCAACTGGACTTCGTGGGCAACCCATTTTTCGGGCTGTGCAACGTCGACGACCCCTACGCGGTCAAGAGTCTGAACCTGCGGTACGGTGTCTACAAGGACGTCGTAGAAGGATGCACTAGCGAGGAAGAGATAGCCGCGAGGATCGAGAAGCTGGAAACAGTCAATCACGTGGTCACCGAGGGCGGGCTGGTGTTCATAACCCACGAAAGAACTCCCTCGCAGACTCTGGAGGATTATTTTGGGAACGAGCTGGGCCGGTTTATTAATAACAAGGATTTCCGAAGCCGCACGCTGCGCCGCAGACTCGTATATGAGTGTGACTATAATTTCATGACTTTTATTGACGGGTACCAGGAGTGTTTGCACTGCCAGTATACACACCCTGCTTTCAGCAAAGTGTATCCGTTCGAGTTCTACAAGGTTGACATTCACACCAACTTCTGCCGCCACCACTGCAATCCTGTAGGCGAGCAGGACGACGCAGGACTATTTCTGTATTTTTTCCCATCATGCACCCTGAACCAATACGGGGGAGGCATGGGAATTTTCCGCGCGAATCCAGTCAACGGTAACAAGACGCGCATGGAGTTTGAGTATTTCTTCGACGGCAGCGACGAGCAGTTCGAGGCCTACTTCAAGTTTGCGAGACAGGTCGCGCTCGAGGATATTTGGCTGTGTGAGGCCGCGCAACAGAACCTGATAGGTGGGGTGTACCAACGGGGTTTACTACACCCCAAAAAGGAAGTGGGGGTGGTTTACTACCAGTCGCTGGTTCGTGAAAGAATCATGGCTTAACTCCGAGACGTGAAGCTAGTGACTTCACGTTGTGCGACAATGAAATACTACGCGGATGTATTGCACCTGAGTGAATAAAAGGAGTTCCGACTCGGTAGCAAATTCTACTGAGTGACCAATTTTATTACCGAACTAGCCAACCCGGGGGTTTTTTCACAATAGGAAAAAAGGACTCTATTGTTCGATGCTGCTGCAAATCACACCAGAGATAATAGGTCACCGACTTACTCCGCATGCCCTCCCAATGACCTTTTTTAGTGGTTGCGAATGGCTAATCGTTGACCAATGAGTCCCGGGCCTTGGGTGCCGAAGTGGGAATTAGTCGGCACTCGGTTGTGAGAGATTATCCTATATAAACCACAAAATCCTACCCCCCTCTTGCCAATGAAAGGCTTACTCTATTACGGTACAAACGATATTCGGTACTCCGAAACGGTCCCTGAACCGGAGATTAAGAGTCCCAAAGATGTCAAGATCAAAATCAGCTACTGTGGAATCTGCGGCACGGACTTGAAAGAGTTCACATATCCTGAAGGACCTGTCTTATTTCCTAAAAAAGGCACAAAGGACCGGATTTCGGGATATGAGCTTCCATTGTGTCCTGGACATGAATTTAGCGGAACGGTGGTTGAAGTTGGCTCTGGCGTCACAAGCGTGAAACCTGGTGACAGAGTCGCAGTCGAAGCTACAGCGCATTGCTCTGACAAAGCGCGCTACAAGGACACAGTTGCCCAGGATTCCGAGCTTTGTATAGCCTGCAAGAGCGGGTCTCCGAATTGCTGTGCGTCGTTGAGTTTCTGCGGTTTGGGTGGTGCCAGCGGCGGTTTTGCCGAATACGTCGTCTACGGTGAGGACCACATGGTCAAGCTGCCAGACTCGATTCCCGACGATATTGGAGCACTGATCGAGCCAATTGCTGTCTCCTGGCATGCTGTCGAACGCGCTAGATTCCAGCCTGGTCAGACGGCCCTAGTTCTTGGAGGAGGTCCTATTGGTCTTGCCACCATTCTCGCTCTGCATGGCCACCAAGCCGGAAAAATTGTTTGTTCCGAGCCGGCCTTGATTAGAAGACAGTTCGCACAAGAACTGGGCGCCGAAGTGTTTGATCCTTCCAAGTGTGACGACGCGAACGCCGCTCTCAAGGCTTTGGTGCCAGAAAACGAAGGATTCCACGCAGCCTTCGACTGCTCCGGAATTCCTCAAACGTTCACCACCTCGATCGTTGTCACAGGCCCTTCTGGAATTGCCGTCAACGTGGCCATCTGGGGAGACCACCCAATTGGATTCATGCCAATGTCTCTGACTTACCAGGAAAAATACGCTACCGGCTCTATGTGCTACACCGTCAAGGATTTCCAGCAAGTTGTCGAGGCCTTGGAAAACGGTCTTATACCTATGGACAAAGCACGCAAGATGATCACAGGCAAAGTCAACCTGAGGGATGGAGTCGAGAAGGGCTTCAAACGGCTGATCGAACATAGGGAGACAAACGTCAAGATCCTGGTCACTCCGAACGAGGTGTCCTGATGATAGCTATACATACATAATTTAAATACATGTCCTAGAGACCACGCTCTGTTGGAAGGATAGGCAGCAGTGTGCACCATTGTGGCCGACCTCCCAGGAAACTAATCAATAATCTACACATGGACTCAATTACGTAACAGGTGCTGTGCATTAAATAATGCAGATTTTTTTCTAGGTTAATTTATTGTATGTTTCTTGAGCAGGAGGAGATACTAGAGCAATTCCAAAATATCTCCAATTGCCAAATCCCTGTGTCCGAGCAAATTGCTTTGCTAGAGTCTGTGAACTGGAATCTGGAGCTTGCATTGATTCAGTACTGGCAGTTGTATCCAAGAAGGGCGAACTTTGAGAGACGAGACGTCAACATGGCAACGGAGAATTCATCCAATGGTGCATCCAATCAGCGAAGCTGGTTCTCTTCGTTCTTTCGGAATACAGAGCAGACATATGTGCCTCTGATGCCAGGGTCATTCCCCATCACTGAAGAACGACAGCCCTCAAAGCTCCACAGAATGGTCAACACCACTTTTAAATGGCTACTAGACCAGCTAGTGTTATTTGTTGTTGTGCCGTTGTACGTTTTGCTCCGCATACTGGGTCTTGCTTTGCTTGTTGTTGTTGGTGGTATTGTCCCAATCATCATGAAGCTGCATCCAAATAGATACCATGTCATTCGCAAAAACGCTGATCCCGCTGATATGGCTCGCCGCTTTATCGTCAACTTTGACGACTTGATCGGAAACGTGTCTCGTGGAGACGCAGATGAGGAAGAAACCGGGGACCTAATCAACCAAGCTGACATGATGGAAATACAGCGCCCTGATTTCCTTGAGTGTTCGTATTCGCACGCTTTGCATTTCGCTAAAAAAGATGCCAGATGGCTGCTGCTGTACATCCACGGCGAAGACCACCAAGACACTAAGAATTTCATCCAAGATGTGCTGATAAGTCCTGAATTTCTTCACTTCGTTCGAGAGAAGCAAATACTCATATGGGGCGGAGACATAAAAGACAGTGAAGCATATCAAGTGGCTAACCAATTCAAAGTTACCCGACTTCCCTTCCTCGGAATGTTGTGTTTGACGGTCAACGAGACGCCCACAGCTTCTGGAGTGCAACAGTCGGATCCGATCCTGTCTATGGTTTGCAAAATACAAGGTTATATGCCTAGTGCTCAGGTGCTCGCCAAGTTGCAAAAAAACTACAACAAATTCAACCCCAAACTGGAGAGTATCCGTGCAGATGTGCAGCGTCTTCAGATCGATCGCCAGACTCGCCAACTACAGGATCAGGCTTACGAAAATTCGCTCAGAAGAGACAGAATGCGCAGAATGGAGGAGGCCCTTGTACAAAGAGACCGGCGGGAACAAACACGGGCCGCCACTCTGAGGGAGAAGTGGTTGAAATGGAGAAAGTCTACGTTGTTGCCAGATCCAGAGCCCGCGAACGCCGCACGGATCGCTATCCGTCTGCCGGACGGGAAACGAGTTCGGCACAATTTCGATAAGACCGCTAAAATTGAGGAGATATACGCTTTTGTCGAATGCACCCATCTGAACGACGTGGAGATTTCCGACTCCGACACCCTCGAACGGCCCATTGGTTACGATCACCAGTACAACTTTGATGTCTATACAGTGTATCCACGAGAGAAAGTTGCCGTGGACGATGAACTAAGTATCGCCGATTCCCAGCAGGTGTATCCTGATGGGAACTTGGTTGTCGAGCTGAATAGTGAAAATTAATGCGTTGGTTGTGTTTTCTTAGTCCGTTTCTTAGCCTTCTTCTTGTCTTTCTTCTTCAATCCTTTGAGTCCGCTTTTGAGAATATTGGCATACTCGTTCCAAAATGTCTCCAGCCGGTCAGGTACGATCTCTGTGCTCAGCTTCACTCTTTTCGACTTATCTTTGTTGCCATCGGTCACTCTGACCAACACCGAGTACGATTCTTTCCCAGATCCAGCTGCACCTTCTATATCCTTCGTGATGTCATACGAGAGTCTTTTTTGCGTGATGTATATGGACTTGCCGCTGTTCTTCTCCAGCAGTGCACTCACTTGTTTGAGAAACTGGCGTTAGCAATACGATACTTTAATTCTTACCTCCTGGTTCTCTAACCTCGTCATGCTGAATATATATATATTATTTTTTTGACGATATTTTTCGCGCATTTTTTCAAGCTCTATACAAAGCGATCATCTTGGAAGCCAGTCCACTCGGAACACCATAGATCGGGTCCAGCGAGCGCACGTGGTTCGCATCCGAAATGTCTGTTATGCTCGGATCTAAAATCCGGTGTCCAATGTATTCGCCAGCCTTATACTCTTGGTAGTGCTGCGTCATGCTCAGTCCGCAAAGGACATAGTTCGTATGATAAAAATCCGCCCGAGTAGACGGCTTATCGCGCAGACCAGCAGGCTCATCCTGGCAACAGCAGAGAATGTAATTTTGCAACTGGATACGATTGAGAAGGTCTCTTTGGCCAGTCGCTATCTCGAGTAATGGTGTCAACCCCCCGACCCAATGACTGTAGCATCCGTCAACGAGCTTGTTTGTGCGTCCACTGAGTCCTCCCTCCAGACTGTACTGTCTTTGAACAGTCCAGTTGATCAAATTGTCGAGATCAATCACAGATGCTAACTCTCTAGGAGATTTTAGTATCGACAGTGCTGCCACAGCACAAAAAGTGTATCCTCCGTGAGCTTCATCGCCAGGAAAGCCTGAAAATCCACCCTCATACGTTTGGCAGCTGGCCAGCCAGTCAATCGCCTTGTACGCAAGCTTGTCGTCCAGGATATCCAGAAGAGAAGCAACACAGATCGCACAATAGACGGCTCTGGCGTCTGCTTCTCCATTGTAATGCATGATGAAAGACCCGTCAGGCTGTTTCATTTGTTGAAGCCAGTTGTATATTTTGGACCTGTCAAGCTGGCTAGCAGCTTTGTAACTTTTGCTTACCGTCAAAGCCAACAAGCCGGCATATGTCGCAGCCATGTGGGCCATCTGACCATTTCCTCCGCCGATTGCCCCCGTATCGGCATCCACACATTCAAGAATCTTGTCGCCAATTTTGTCGGACAGCTCTGAGTTTACTTCCTCGCCGAGAAGTGCCTTAGAGTTCACAAGCCAGTAGATGATCCATGGCTGAGAAGCGTCCAGAGCTGTAAATGGAGCGGGCAATGGGCGGTTCAAGAATGTGTCAATGTATTTGGAATGTCTCTTGCGTCTAAGGATAGGAAATTCGCTCTTATCTTTGCCTAGAACGTCCTCATATATTTTAAGGATGTCCATTTCAACCTCCATTTGGCTCTCTATCGTTTTAGAGGCCGGCTCCTCAATGCGGAACTCATCCACCTGATCGCTCGCCTGAAACAGTTCTTGCAACGTATCGTAGTTCAGGCTGCTCTGTGCCATTTGCGCTAAATAACGTGCAAGAAACCGAATGCGGGCCGCTTTCTTTCGGCTCATACAGATGTTTCAAAATTTATTATCATTGCACAGCCGTAAAGTTGTGGAAATAGTTCACGCCAACCTGTGAGAGCTGCCCAGATCCACAGTACACGGGCCTTTCTGCGATAGCCTGATGCAGATTGTATATATTCCAGGCTGAAAGGTGGGAAAATGAACAAAGTAGCCGTATTTTTCGCTGACATTTTTGCATTCCTTACGGAAATTAGGAGATTGGATTGAAAAGTCGAATGCAGCGTGGCTCCTGATTCTTATTGTAACGCGGGAAGGTTTCAGGACCGTAAACTGGTGTTCGCAGTTTTCTGAATCTTGAAAGGTTTTCGATTGCGTGAAAAGTCCCAGGCTTGTGGATAGTCTAGTCATAGTCAGCGGGCCTTCGCTATTGACGATTAATTTGAATGGGCCGAGGGTTGAAGGGTCCTTGGTTGATACTATTGCGATGTATCTTGCCTTTGGGTTGAGCCTGGTTTTGAAGATGAATCCTGACTGGTCGTATTCGAGTCGTTGGCCGCCCACAAGGGTTTTTTCGTCGAACTTTGTGACAAATCTGTCTGAAGTCTCAAATAGCAGGACATTAGCTACGCTGTTAGAAAAAAGACCAATTTCGGTCTTACCATCTGCACCAGTAATCTCGAATTGTGGATTGTCAATGTAAGTGGGATACAACCAGCTGCCACCAGCTGTCATGGGCGTCCATTGATCCGATACTTCCTGGATATGTTTGTACTTGAATGATGGTCTTCCTACCGTTAACTCGTGCTCCGAAAAAAAATGCACAGAGTATCTTGTTGGAAACGTACTGTTTGCAATAAGCACGCCAGTCGCTCGTTGACCTGGGTTGAGATGAAGTCTTGACAATACAAAACGTGATTTGTTGGTCGGACTTTTTGCTATCCGTTTTGCGTCTGTCAGCGTCCAGAGTTTTTCGCCTTGTGTATCAAACCACTCGGCACGCAAATATGTCTCTTGCTGGTTCAAATGGCGCTCAAAAAGAACATAGACCGTGCTGGGGTGGTTGTGATTTTGTAAGCAAAATTGTGGGTACTCAATCGCTCCCAATGCGTCCTTGTATACCACATGCTTGGTGATCTTCGAAAAATTATTTAGCTTCCAATTGAGATAGAGGACGTTAAACGGGTAAAGATCTGACACTTCAATGTCGCGTCTCGCAAGATTCCATGGGTTTCTCAAGTGTAACTTATAGCCATACTGCGCTGAATCGTCCTTTTCGATGCCCAGAACCGAATAATCATGATTAGGAGCAAGATTGAAGCGGCGACACTCTTCTGCAGAAAGATTGGAAGTCCCTAAACCCAACACAAGCTCTCCACTGTTGTGTTTTCGAGCAATTTGTTCCATCTTATTTCTCGTGAGATCGTCAATTTCCACATACTCGGGAACGTAGCCTGTAAGAATAAACGTATCAATGCCGATATTGGAACCCCTGAAGTCTGATAAGTGAGAAGCATTATGGATCTGGAGGTATGCTTTTTCCACGATTGCAGGCCACAGAAGCTCCGGATTCGTCGAGCTTTTCACGTATCTGGATTGATCACCCGGAAGTGAAGAATCTGTCCACACCACTCTTTTGCATCCATTGAATCGTAGTGTCACTGCGAATCTTGAGGTATTGCTATCTGTATGAACCAATGACAGGAGGTCAAATCCATGGCTGGCCGCTGTTATCAAGGATGACACAAAGGAGCAGTTTGCTAGTGATTCCTGGTACAGGTCCTCAATTCCATCCGTACTAAGAATAAGCGAATTAGTTGAACCCGGGGCAACGATAAGGCTTACTTGTTCATCAAATGGGTAATAAAAATCAGTTTGCTTTGAAAATATCCAGCACATCTTTTGGTCAGGAGTGAGAAACGGTCGACCAGACTTGAGATGATCGTAAAAGCCCAAAAGCTTATTCCCCATGCCTTTAATTTGCTCGGGCATGGATCCAGAGTCCATCACAAGCTGTAATTGTTTGATCAGACTAAGGCACTCTGTTTTGACATGTTGTGATAGCGCATATCGATAGAACAATTCGTTGAGTTTTGTTTGTATTGCCTCTATCTCTGAGTATACTTGATCCATACTTCAGGGCTTAAAATTAATTTTTCGAGATTATTAAGTTATCTATCAAATCTAAACTTCTCCCGCCCCAAAAACAAGCTTCATGCCACGCTCCAAAAGTCCCTTATTTTCCTTTTTTGCAGCTTTCGGGACATTGATAAGACCGGTCCCATCCTTGAGTCTAAATTTGCCGTCTTGACGCTCCTCATGATTGCCGCCCTCAGCAGCAAAAACGCAAGAAAGCTCTATCTCTGGTAATTTTTGGTCGCTCACAAGCTTAACCAGCGACATAGAGCACCCAATGTCTTGATTGTCTGGAATAGACGTTCCTAGCAGTTTCTCTAGAGACGATCTTGTGTAAGGGACCACCCCTATCACCGAACCAGATGCACCTAATTTATTGTTATCACGCAAAGCACGCACGGCGGAAGCCGAGTTGTCGTATGTGAATTTCACCCACTGCGGCCCAATGAAAACGGGGTAGTTCTTGCTTTGACTCAGAAGCTTACGCTGGTTAAAATCCTCCATTATGGTCCCGTATTTTGAAAATTGCTCCACAACCGAGGCGAACTGCGAATCGTCATATCCATACACTATAACAGCAGTCTCTCTTATCGTTGGTTCTGCATCCTTTTCGTTGTCATTTAGTGAGTCTACCTTGCCAACGGAGAAGGGGAGATCTGGGTTTGCCGACTCGCTAGATCCGACTGGAACCCTGCTTCGTTGGACTCTGTTGAAAACGTTTCTGTAACTATTGGGGTCGGATTCAAACTTTCCAAAACCTGGGCTGTTGATCAGTAGAGCGTTACCAGAATTTTCATCGTTACTCATGCGGTCATAGAGGGACACCTTTGGAGGAAGGTCTTGGAACTCATCTATGGATGTCGTTTCGTGGTCAGCAATGACAGAATCACCTGCAAACCGTTTCCTTTGGACGCCAGACTGGAACGGCAGCGCCGGCTGGCTCGAGCTATCAGCATCATCGGTCGTTTCACCCAGAAATTTGCTTGTTCTTTTGATGAGAGTAGTTGGTATGCTTCTCTTCTTTGTTCTTGTGCCCGTTCCACCTATAAGTGATTTGTTACCTCCCGAACTCAACCACTCTGGCTCTTTGTACAGGTCCTCCTTGAGCTTGTACTTCGAGAAGCGCGACTCCTGTGAATCAGCAGCTGATATCTGAGACATATTTATAAACAAAGTTTTTTATGAAATTGATTTAAAATGTAGCTAGTACAAAATGAGTTTAGATAATGCTCATACAGTTGACATTCCAACGCCAATCAATTCCTTTCACTAGCTGCTCTCTTTTGTTGAGACAGAGCTGCAAGACTACGTGAGCACCTATGATTGCTGATAAGAAGAGGAGGGACTGCCTCAAAAACGGGTTAGGGGGTCAGTGTCATCGTTCCGTCCTCAGCAGACTGGTGTCACACGGCTACGATTAACAGATCAGAACTAAGGATCATAAGCCGCTCGCTTGATACTGGCCAAGGGTGATAGAGCTGATAGTTGAATCAATGACCGCGGACACTTAAACCTCTATCTTCTATATAACCTCATCCTCCAGCCTGACTTTGTGTAACCTTATGCACCGTTCGCGAATTCTATTCAAAAATGTTATAAAGGTAGCTGATTAAACTTCCGGCAAATGACCCCACGTAGGCACCTGTGAGCAACGTGATTGGCCACTGTTGCCAGTCCCTATCCCAGTCGAGCGGAATAGGAATCACACCCAACCAGCAGCCCACCAGTGCGCCCATAGCCTGCAAGTAGACCTGATTCTTATAAAATGCTGGCACTTGAAACGTGAGCAAGCGGATCCACGTATCTCCTGCGTCTGAGTCTGTGAACTTGTAGGCTAAAAGAAGCGGGAAAATTGTCAGGAACGACAGATGCAAAGCTAGAAAGGCTGTTTCCTCGGTTAGGGATCCGATGGGAGCCCCAAAGACCAGCAGGATAACGAAGATTGGAACTGCGGCGAAGCCAGATATTATAGACGAAATCACCAGGTACATGAGCTCGCCGCCGTTTGGGCTTCTGAGCTTTCTTGCCTTCTTTTTGTTCTTTAGTGTGGCCAGTGTCATTAGTCCAAAACCAAACTGAAGTGTTAAAACCGCGAGTGCTGACGAGCGCAATGCCGATATAACTTTGGAGCTAATATCGTAGTGAAAATACAGAGCATAGACGACAACCAGAGAATGGAACGGAAGAAGCACGAAAGCAGGAGACGGCTTTGGCAGCTCGCGAAGTTGAGGTTCATCATCAGCAAGATTGAAACCTGACTCTCGAACAGGCGATCCCGGTTCTGTACTGGGATTGCGGTCGCTCAAAGAAGGACTGTTGCGAGAGAAGGAAACGGTCTTCTTGACCTTTTTTGGTGTGGCCGACATGGAAGTCAGTTCGAAATGTTTATATCAAGTGGGAACTCTTTATTGGTGCGTGCCGGTTCACACGTTAAAAATATATACAATTGAATCTATAAGTTATTTTTCAGGCAGTGAAGAGTCCAGATTAGTCTTTCTGGCAATAAAGTACTTCTCCAAGAAAGTGAGCTCGTCAAACTCTAGAACATCTCCTGGCCTCTTGGCCACAATCGTCCACGTGGTGCCAAAATGAGATCGTTTTTCCTGCGTGATTTCCAATCCAGATGCATCCACCAACTCTCCGATGTCGAGATTCCATCGACAGCCCCATGTTTCCGAGTGTTTATGGGCCCTTCGGTCAAGCTGTTTGTTGATAAAGTCGTAAGAGCCACGCCCGTGCTCCAAAAGCACAATTCTTCCTCCCGGCTTGAGTAACTTCATCATATTTTGCAAGGCTTTCACTGGATCCTGGTGAGAACACAATCCGAAAGTCTCAATGATAGTGTCGTATTTCACTTGCTTGTCTCCCTGAAGGTCCAACAAGTCTTCAGCTTTGCCAACAACAAACTTCACCTTTTTGAAAGCAGGCCATGTTTCTGTAAACTTATTGTACGTCACACGCATCATCTTGGCAGAGGTATCCAGAAACGTGTAGGATTCTATTTTCGTAGGGTCCAAATATTTGATGTTTCTTCCCGTTCCACAGGCAACTTCCAAAACGTCACCCTTGCAGTGGCTCATAAGCCATTTCCGCTTTGACCCCATGAACGACAACATCTCCTCGGTGGAAATCTCGCTGTCGTACTTCTCGGCAACGTTGTCATAGAAATCTGTCAAATCCTTAGCCGGGAGAATGCATTCTTTGTAAGAGGTATCTAAAAGATGCTCAATATCTTTAGGCTCTGGATTGAAGTAGTCGTCGGGCGAAGTATGTGTCTTTTTCCATTCCTCTTTGAGTTCGTGATACGCCTTCAACTTGGCCATATCCGACGTCCGGATCAGGTCCCCACTCAACTCCCGCAATCTCAATTTCTCCCACTCACTAAGCTCTGCACCGGAATCTCTTTTCTCCAGCAGTTCCTTCTTCTCCACATCTCTTTCATACAGTTTGCGGAAATACCTTATACCGTAAACGAAGAACACCACATACAGCGCAAGATAGTACTTGGTGGCCTTTCTGTTGAACTCAAAGGTGTCCACAATGGCACCATATTTTTTGATCCAGGAACCTGAGTTGATGGCTTCTTCGTACTTCCTCTGTTCCTCCTCTGCCCTAAGCTGCTCAGGGGTCTTAACTTTTCTCGTCTTGTACCGAAATTCCGGCTTGCCAGAGCTCCGAGCAGCATTACGAACAAAAAGCAAACCAGCGCGTGGATATATGAGAGACTTCTGACCAGGCATTTTGCCCAAAAGTCTCAGGCTCCCCAAAAACATGGCCTTTGCGAAAGTCAAAATTTACCAGCTTTTTTTCTCACGTTTTTTTAAAAAGTTCATTGGTAACTTGAAGCTCTTGTTTATCGATCTACTGTCATTTACAAAATCAATAGCGATTTTCAGTTCCTTTCAGCTGGACCTTGTACAAATTCATCATTGAAAACGCATTAAACCTTTAGGGTTTGATATCGACGCTCGAAACCGTACAACGAGACCAACACGAAACACCGTGCACAATAATAAAAATCCGTTGGACTAGTGTTTACTCTTAGCAATCGAACATCAACACGCGAATCTTGAGCTCCACAATGGATCAGAATGGTGTCGACCAGATTGTGGGTTCTCTACAGGTAATCTATAACCCTCAGTCCACCAACGAGAATCGCCACAAAGCTCAGGAATTTTTAGAGACCATCAAACAGATCCCCGAGTCGCCATATTGGGGATACTTGCTGGCACTCCCGGACAATAAATACGACTTCATTGTGAGACATTTCGGTCTGAGCTTGCTCTCCAATGCCATCAAGAGAGACTTTTCCCAATGGGACCTAGAGAAACAGGAAGCGGTCAGAAACTGGGTCATCGAACTAGCCATGAAAGTGGCGCCGACGGACCCTCACTACATGAAGGAGAAAATAGCGTTCTTATGGGTGGAGATCGCCAAAAGATGTTGGGGTCTTTGTCTCTCAAAGGAAGAAGAAGAAATTGCGCTCAAAGATAAATCGTATACAGACCTTGAAAAACTTCAGAGTTGGGCTTCCATGGACGAAAACTTGCTCAGACTGTGGGAGCATTCACTTATCACAAGAGAGCTCTCTCTTATCATATTCCGTGCATTGTTTGAGGATGTTTACCTGCTTGATGATCCCGTGGTGTCGCAGAGAAATAACGTACTGTCATCTCTATGTCCAGAGGTGGTTACGTCCGAGGAAATATTGTTGCTCAAATATGAGCCTAACGAGTCCCTCCGAATATTCGCTGCCTCAAATCAAGGGTGGCTTCTTAGATGGTCCGCGCTTTTGGAGGAATGTATCGACTACATGCTGAGCCATCCTCGATCCGACTCTGATGAAAACTACCGAAATTTCTCCAACCTCGCAGTCAAAATCCTACAAGTTTTCAAGACAAGCTTGTACTGGATCTTACCAATTGCATTTCGCGCAGCTGGCGTGCTTGAGAAGCTCAGTCGCTTGCTGGCAATTGATGATGTTCAAATAAAAACACTCACTGTCGACTGCTTACAGGTTTTATTCACAAGGGCATACTCCGAGGAGGCCGATTTCAACGAGATAATTGGTTCGATTTTCCAGACCGAAGGTCTGGCAATGCTGTTCAAGGTGTTCAAAAGTATACAGCTGGATCCCGATGACGTTGATGAACATAATTATACCCTGCTGAAAAAACTAGTGGAAATGATTGTGGGGCTCAGCGAATATTTCCAGCTCTCTGACAATAACATCAAATTCAAGCTTCCTGAATCCGCAGACGTATTGAACTATTTCAAACTGGTTTTGGAAACCACAAAACACCCATCTTTGGTGATATCAGGTTTATCTCTCCAATTTTGGTGCTCAATGCTGAGAATAGATGAATTGAGCGATAAGCCAGATTTCGAGCAAATTATGCCAGAACTTCTGGATGTAACAGCCAGCAGACTGATCAACTATGCTGATTACGATGACGAGTGTGTCGAGAGAAAGATGCTGAGCATAGATTTCGAGAGCCAGCCTGAGGCCACCACTTTTTTGAACAATTACAAAAAATTGAGCGACGACATTGTGCGGATCATCATATGTAAAAAGCCAAACGATGGGCTGCAGTGGCTCGCAAACAGACTGAACAAATTCTACTCATCTCCAGTGGGCATACAATCGCTCAACGATCCAAAACTGATCTACAAAGGCAAAAACTCTGAGCCGTTCATCTTTGGATACGCCCAGTTTGTCACCATTGAGGCGTGCGTGCGAGGCATCTCGAGGTGGCTTATATGGTGTCAAGACGATGACATGGAGACGAAGAAGGTTTATCTAATCAATCAGGTGGATGAGCTTTGCAAAATGCTGCTGAGCATGACAGTGAAAGACCCAATGCTGCTGAGAAAACAAATCCAGACACTGGTTCAGTTCACACCCCTCTTGAAAGACGTTTCCGGAACCATGTTCAAGGTCTTGGAGAAAGTCATGGAGTCTTGTACATTTGATTATCCTCCTGATGCCGGGGATGATGAACGAGAACTTATTCGTGATTTAAGGACAAGTGGTGGCACAGAGCTCAACAGGCTTGCGTACCTCATGCCGGAGTCTCTGAAGGATATTCTTACCGAGCTGGAGTCGGCCATTGCCGCTATCTTGAGCTCCAAGAAACTCAGCGACCACGAAGCTGTGGCGTTCAAGTCTTTCCTTCTAGTGGTATCTCAAAGATCGTCTATTGACAACAAGGCTCAAAGATTTGCTAATATAGTCGATCCAGAGCTTGTTGCGTGGTCCAATCCTGCAACAGAAAAGGGACTGCTGGAATTGCACTGGTTCATGGAGAGACTAGGTATTGTTAGAATTGCGGACTATTTCCAATCGAGGGGAATCACCGCAGACACAGATCTTCTGGAAGCACAAATGGATGAAAGAGGACGAGCGCTGAAGAGCGAATTAAAGGATCACTGGTCATCAGTCTTCCCAATTCGTGCGACAAGAATTTTTATTCAATACAGTATTGAGAAGTTGGATCATCAGTCTGAAACCTACCAAGATTTGTTGAAACTTTGGAAGCCAAGAATCAAGCCAATCCTGCCACACATTTTGCAGCTCATCTACCAAATCCAGGCATACCACAACCCTGCTAATTGGTCTGGCCTGCCGTCCGAAGTGCAATCCTTCGTAAAGTACAGTTGCATGGAGAGATTCTGGCAGCAGGGTGTCTCCATTCAGTCCAAGGAATCGTTCATGGACGAAAGCGTTAAGGCTATGCATACATTAAGAGATTTCGCCGACAGCGTTGGGCACATCGTGAGGTATACGAGAGAATACGCTTATTTGACAATCAGCTCGATTTCGGAGCTCGAAGAAACATTATACGAGATTCCAGACTGTGCCAATCTGTTGTGGAAAGCCCTGACCGGCGAGTCCGTGGGTATCACTCTTCATTCGTGGAGGCACATGATCAATCTTGTGATTCGGAATGTGATAAAAAACTGTCCTATTTCTCACCTCGATTCCTTCATGGTCCAGCTCTTGCCCCAGGTATTGAATACCATTGACTCGCTGCTTGTTTCCAAGTGGGACGTTGTGTTCCAGAAGGGACTGCAGCTAGAAGGCAACGAGAGCGACGAGCAGCTGAGCGAGGAAATGATGGAAGAACACATGCTCAGGCAGCTCACTGCCGTTATCGACAGGATGCTCATTGATCTTGTTGGCCAGCAGGCGCCAACAAGCCTGGTTGAGAGACAATTGAAGACCAGAGAAATCATATTCAGGGATTTGAACCTGCTTGCACCTCTACTGAATTTGCTGTGCCACATTATCAGCTTCAAGGATACGAGATGCTCGTTCAATGCCATTTTGATAGTCAAGCACATGATTCAAGATCTTGTCGCCTTGAATAACGACGACGTCGACAAGTATCTCTCGGAGCATGTGATCGAGACACTCTTGTCTGTGCTTGTTGATAAGTTCTACGCCGACGCACACCCCGAAGCTGCCTACACGTTGACTCTGCTTTACATGGGCTTGAGGTTCAAGTCGTCGTATCCGGCAATGATTCTCCAGAAATGCCTTAATCTAAGCAACAAGGAAATGACCGATTTCGAGCTGCTTCTAATGAACTGTAAAAAGCTCAGGGAAAGACGTAACTGCTTACTGCAGCTGGTCGAGAATGCAAGCGATCCAGGAAACAACAACGAAGAACAGAAAATGAGAGATCGCAAAAAGCAGGTAGAGACTGCTCAGCAACGAAGAAGCAAAAAAGGAGCCGAAGGGGACGTTATGGACGACCCTCTCACAGAGAAAACACTAAACAACATGTTTGGAGAGGAAGTGCAATAACTGAAGTGTTATATACCTTATTAATTTGCTGTTTCGTGCGGAGTTTTCCATATATCGTTCAGGGTGTACACGGCGTTTTTTTCGAGCTCTTCGTTCCAGTTTGGGTACATTTTTTTAAGGAAATCGATAAAGCTATCTTGGTCTAGTTCTGCCATTGTGCGGCGTCCTATTGAGTAGATGATCATGTTGTCGTCGGAACTTCTGCTGGCGGACGTGATGCGTCGCTGGTTCTTTGATTGTGTCTGTGTCACGTCGAGCTGATTTAGATATTCCTGTTTGACCATGAGAAGCAGAAACTCCGGTACCGTTGTGCCGAGCAGCTCCACAGTTCTCGTTTCGCTGAAGTTGAGCTGGAACTTCGTTTGCAAGATGTTGAGTAGGTCTTGCTTGTTGACATTATTTTCATTGAGCAGAATGATAGCTATTATGAGCATCTTGAAGCCCTGAGCTATCAAGTCAGATACAGGCTTGGGCAGGTTGGCGCCAGTTTTGTAGAGAGCAGAGGAGTTTGTGGACGGCTCCTTGAGATCCGACAGCGAGGCAATTGGCCGTGACTGTGACTGGAAGTACTTGTAGATCTCGTCCTTTAGCGACAACGGTAGCTTGTTCACCAAAATGTAATCATCAGAGGACGCGTTTTTTGTATCTTGTCTGGGCGGGAGTTCCACAAGCTCCATCCCAAAGACACGCTCCAGCGTCTCCCTGATGTTGGGCAGCAGGTCTTTCTTAAACTGTATACCATGGCCTTTCTCTCCCTCGACCTCCATTATTTTTGCTGTCAGGCCCTTATTCAAGACCTGGTATTTGCTTTCCATCGCCAGTAGGGAGCGAACAAACGCCTTGGTGAGTTTCTGGACGCGCTGCTGTTTCACAGAAGCCCTGGACGACGCCACGGATCGGTTTTGAGGACCCGTTTCCTCAGAGCTATCGCTGGAATTGGACTCGTCTGGCCCATTCGACTGCGACGTCTGAACCCTTCTTGACTTGCGCACGGGCTCCACGTAGTCGTCGTCCTCTTCGTACGCGTCGAAACTGTTCCTTCTCCTGGCCATGCCTATTGATCAGAGATAAACTTTTTCGGGTCGATCGTCCTTTCCAGTTATCTTTGTTTGGTGTTTCATGTCCTCTGTCACTGACCCTTACGGCGGGTCCAATGAGCACCACCAGTCGGGAAGAACGCGAAGGATCGTGTCTCTGGTGTTCTCGTGCCTTGTGGCCATGGCTTCGGGTACTCCGTATCTTTTCGGCATCTACTCGCCCCAGGTGATGTCCAGATGCCATTTCACCGCGGAGGATGCCAGCTTTTTGACGTTTGGCTCCACGTTGGGTTCCTCCATTGGCGGACTGGCTGCTGGGCTGCTGATCGACAAGTTCGGACCCAAATTTGCGATATTTCTGGGGGCCATACTGGAGTCTGGCGCATTTGTGATTCTGTATCTGACATACAAATTCCAGCTCCATCATCTGTGGCTCCTGGAGATCGCCATGGTTAACGTTGGATTTGGCTCGGTACTTCCGTATTTTGCAACGTTGAAGGTAGCCACCATCAACTTCCCCAAACACAAGGGCATGGCGAACGCCTGTCCAGTCTCAGCTTACGGCCTGGCTGCCCTGATGTACGCTTCCATATCCACGGTGTTCTACGCGGGCAACACACAGGGCCTCCTCAAGTTTATCGCGATTTTCTCTGGCGTGGTCATTGGCATGGGATTTTTCTTTATAGACATCCACGAGCCGGACGAGAATGCTCAGGACGCTGAGGACGAACCGTCCGGGATTAAGTACCTGCTCAAGGGCCATCGCGGCTCGTTTGCACAGCTGAATCTCGTGCGACGGAGCTCTAACTCGTCCTTATTCTCGTCGACGTCAGAGGTTTCCTCACTGTCTGTGTCCACAACGTCTTCTGGGACCTCTACCATCACTAATAACCCGATTTCAATCACCAGTGCGCAAAATAAATCCCCATATTCGTCGCGGCCTAGCAGCTACTCGCCGATATCGTCGTCTCCGGTGGAGTTCAAGACGAAACAGTCGCTAGCTCGTGCAAACTCCTACAGACTAGGCTCCTCACTGAGCAATTCGCCCCGAAACCCAGGATGGCTTGGAAACGCGTCTAAAAAAAATGTCAAGGAAGAGGCTCTCGTTGACGAGGACTCGCCTCTCAATCCTGGCAGCGACTCATACAGTGCATCAGTGCTGAGCATGCCTCAAAGTCAGCAATCGGAGGTGCTCGAGACAACTCCTGCAGACGAGCTAGCAGACGCTATCAAACGGAAAAAAACCACGCACCGCACCAGCAAGGAGCACATCCACTGGCTCTTCAAAAATAGAACATTTGTCTGCCATTACGTCCTGAACGCACTGTTCTGTGGCAGTGGACAAGTGTACATTTACGGGATTGGATACATTGTCAAGGCGCAAATGAACAAAAATCCAAACTTCACCAGCGATCAGATCTCGTCATACCAGGCACTCCAGGTTTCCATTATATCACTGTGCAATTTTCTGGGCCGGATGCTTGGAGGCATTTTCAGCGACTACCTACACAAGAGCCTGAATGCGCAGAGACTCTGGGTGATTGTGGTCTCCGTTGTCTGCGGGATCTTGGGAAATAGCACGCTGCTCCTATTTGACAACGCTCGTTTCCTCTCTCTCAGCTCTACCTGCTTCGGAATCAGCTACGGCGCCATCTACGGCGCCATGCCTGCGATTGTCGCTGATAACTTCGGAGCTAGACATTTTGCCACCTCGTGGTCTGTCATTGGAACAGGCTCGGTGGTGGCTTTTTTGATGCTAAGTGACTATTTCGGCAAAGACTACGATAAACACAGCCAGTATCTGGAGGACGGAGACGGCAAGCTTGTGCGGATGTGTTTGAAGGGCAGCCGCTGCTACCAGAACGTGTTTGGCATCAACCTTTTCATCGGCTGTATCTTGCTGGTGAGTTACTGCGCTATGATCTACTGTGCGAGAAAGAAATAGTATTCAGTTCATCCACTCCGTACACCTAAATATTTTATTTATGTTTAGACCCTCACAGCACCGTCAGATATCGCTCAAGTCGATTCTCGCGTCGTTCAAGCGGATCCGGAACATTGAGGAGGTCAATGAGCCGCTCAAGGAACTTCCTAAATCTACCGGCTCGGGCGCATTTGTGGAGCCGGTGGACTTTGAAGTCCTGGGAAAGACTTCGACCATGCTAAATATTAAACTGCCCAAATCCTCGATCCTCAATCTCCGCTACAGCAACGCAAACCAGTCCGTGATAGCGTTGAACGGCAAGGTTTCGTCTTTGGTAGTCGAACTGGGAAAGCTCGAAGGAGGCCTAATTTTTCAGCGGTGCTTCAACACCTCAGGCCCCTTGTCGATCTTGATGGCCAACAAGCTGCAAAATTCAAACTTTACGGTAGTCAATGTGTTAAAGGACACACATTGGACAGTGAGAAGAGACGATTTAGTGGCCTGGACGGGCAATTACATTGACTTGATAGGAGAGAGAAAACTGGTGAAGGTGGCAGGATCCGGCAAGTTTGTGCTCAGTTCACCAGGGCAGACACTCCAGTTGACCCTTCAGGACGGCGAGACTGTGAGCATCAACCCTTCGAGCGTCGTGGCATACACGGGAGAGACCCCTGCTGGACCTAGAAGCATAGTCGATTTTGCAGTTCCGGGGATATCTTGGCTTACAAGAGTGTCTGACGCGTGGGCCTCATTAACATCGTACGTTTCCGACAAGTTCGAGATCCGAAAACCCCAGATCAAAATCCATCCCTGGTTAAGCAGTGCTTACTCGCAGACAGCAGGCCTCGTAAAGAGAGCAGTGAACCGGCTGGTGACAGGTAGTCCTGATTATATGATCGAATTCTCTGGCCCGCGGACTCTGTTGATCAGCAACGGGATCCACCTCAAGGATAAAATCATGACTGAGGAGCAGATACAAAAACTGAAAAAATTAGACTAAATAGATTTATTCACAATATCATGTCTCGAATTGTACCTCGATTGGCACGCTTGCGCACGCGACCCTCCCTTAGTGAGTACCAAGAGATTGAGACAAGACTCAGAAGCTTGCACTGGAACCTTCTTGACGACTCGATATCCGCCTATCCGGCAAAACAATTGTATGCCACTTTGCAATCAATGATCGATCCCACAGCTCGATTTATGAATGGCAACATGGAAAGTTTGAATAAACGCTTTTGCAAAGGGAAGGTGGTTCCTTACGGATACTCTATGATCTACTGTAACCCCATCTCTGGCGAGAACGAGCTGGGATTCGATGGCTTCGACAATTACCATGCTCCGTGCAGTGCAGATAAAGACTACTTTTACAGGCGGATGTGGGTTGCAGGAGGTTTTCAATTCAATCCAGACAGGCCCCTGAAGTTTGGAGATGAAGTTCGTTTTACCGAGACCGTGGATAAAATGAGACAGTACAAGCGACTAGAGCAAATTGGAGTGGACTACAAACGCGAGTACAAAGTGGACAATGTGTGGTCAATTATTGAAACGAGAAAATTGTACTATATACAGAGAACATACACAGAAGAGAAATATCACCTTGTTGAGGATTCTGAGCCTGATCACACTGCAATGATTGTCCCCTCTACAGTGTCCATCTTTCGATCCAGTGCATTAATGTTTAATTCTCATCTAGTCCATTACAATCCTATCTATGGCTCTCGGTACGAAAACTATCCCTCGATAATAGTTTCTGGGCCATTGATGGTCCAGCTGATGCTCCACTTTTGGCAGCAGCACAATCCAAATGCCACAGCACTTTCACTAAAGTACAAAATCATCAACCCATCATTTGCCAACGAAAGAATCAACCTGTGCATTAGGAAGACATCAGAGCACAGACACAGACTTTGGGCAAACAGCAGAGATGGTGATCTCTGTTTTGTGGCCGATCTAATCATTGCATAAGCTTATTCAAAGCTATTTCGCGGTCTCTCCATTTCTGCCATTTACGGGGACTCTTTCTGTCTAAGTCACAAAGCAGTGCTTTCGAGGAGTCCAAGTCTATGAAAACGGTGACGTCGCGCATCGTCATGGTCTCGCACAATTGTTCGTCAACATCCACCTCGCTTTCCAGAGACATTAGTTTCTGATGGACATTTGGATAACGAGCCTGTATTGAGGCAAGGGTCTGGAACAAGAGGATGTTTGCTTGCACTGCATCTTCAATTGGCAGGTACGGACACCCTCGATTTAAAGCCTCATGTTCAACCGCTTCACACCACTTATGTATGCCGTCAGTCGTTAGCAGTTGTAGAGGACAGACGATGAATTTCTCGCCTTTGGATAACAGGTGTGCACAATTGCGACAGGTCCGATTTGAACCCGGATCTAGCCATTTGGGCTTCAGTTCCAGCAATCGGCGAGCTCCCAAGCTTAGAATGATGTGCTTGTTAAGAGCAATTTCACGACAATCAGACTCCTCGAAAACGTTGTCCATGAGTAGGCCATGGGTGTCTGGTTTGAGTTTCAAGCCGTCTTTTTCGAGTTTATGAATAGCCCCTGGCTCTAGCTCAACAAGTTTCGTAGGTATTATCCATCTTTTGAGGGAAGAAAACTGATGCATGTATTCATATATTTCCTGTGTTGTGTAGTCCTGGCCAGCCAGTCGAAGCCTGAGAACAGTACCAGCAAGCTGCGGATCCTTCCCCTCATATCGGAACACTGCGTTGGCAGATCCTTTACGAAAGTAGGAAAAGAAATCAAGCTCCATACTTTACATTTTAATTCATTACGCACAGCCTGAAAAATATTGATCTATTGCAGAGATATTATATCTTTGTACACCTCAACGTATGAGTTTTTGCCCAACTTTTGCATGATTTGCTTTTTCCTGTCGTTATTGAATCCAATAAACCGATGGAACATGTTGAGTTCAATAAACGGTCTTTTGACTGAGGGCATGAGCTCCGTCAGACCTCCAATGGCGTTGGATTTCGGATTCAGACCAAGCCAATGCAGCTCCTTGTCGTAGAGATAATTTTGAATCGAGTACAGTCTTCTGTACTGGTACTCGTTGACCGGCATCACTTTGTAAAATGAGCCGTCGATATTGCTGCCGATGATCTCGTAGCCCAAGTCGTCTTCGTGGTTCAGCGTGCTCACCATTGAAAACAGGGATCTGTCTCTTGCAACCGAAATCATTTTTGTTGTAAGCGCATTCGAACGTAACAGCGACCGGCGCAAGAGCTTTAGACCTTTCATAGAGTTCCCGTCATAAGGATCATATTGTAGCAAGTGGAACACAGAATCTTCGTCTGCCACCAAGATATGCAGATTTCCGTCGTGCACCAAAAAGTCAGCAGCTCGCAATTCAACATCCTGCTCGTCTTTTCCAAAATGCAGCATTCTGTACGGAGCGGCATCGAAGCCATAAAGCGAAACACTCTGAAATGCATCTCCTATGAGTACGAGGTTCTTGAAAGTTTTCACCTCCTTCGAATATATGGACGTGTCGGTGAAGGCAACAGGAGCCACATTGTCGTCTTTCTGCAAAGTACGAACAAGCATTCTTTGTCCTTGAACAATTGCAAAACGACCGCTAATGTTGCAAATGGAGAGTACAGGACCTCTTGCTGTCTCTGATGTAATCATTTTCAATCTATTCTTTGCTTCTGGTCTTCCAGGCTCCGGAACGATATCGATCACCTCGTAAATCTTCCAAGATCCATGTGTAGCGAGATCCTCATTTCTGCATCTTGCGGTTCCAATTAGAACCACTGTTTTGGTCGCAATGGTCTCCGAAACCTTCACTTCAATCACCTCAATCGACGTCACATACTCATTGTCTTCGAGTTCAATCGTATCGATGATTGTCCAATTGGCAGGAGAAACCAAGTGAACCGTACCCTTTAAAGATGTCGACTTTAGCTTTCTATCATCCCGTAATCCAGGGAGTGGCTCTCCATCCTCATCGACAGGATTGTAGGGACCTTCCTCCAAGGTGGATATGATATAGGTGTTTGATAGAGAGTGGTATCTAATCTTGTTGATTGTCTTGTCTCCAATCGTGTACTTGGCTATTGGCAACCTGTTCGAATAGGTGTAGCTGCTATCTAATTGGCATATACGACAGGCTTTGGTTTCGTCAATCGAGATCACACCGTTCGGACATCTATCAGTGTTGTACTCGGCGAAGTAGAGCGAAGATCTTTTGGTGAACTGTAGCATCCGAGGAATACTATTGTGCTCCTTGAGTATCACAAATGCACTTGCCCCAGTCACTAAGACAGCTTTGTACCCTTGGAAATTGTCCACGGTGATGAGGTATCTTTCAATCTTCGTCGCGTGAGCATAAGAATTGTCCGGAGCACCGACAATCGGGAACTGACACATTTCGTTGATCTTCATCAGCTTGTATGTTCTTTCTATAGGATCGAAGAATGTTTCGTAGATGAGGACCTCTCCTCCAAAAGTTAATGCAACGAGATAATCCTTAGAGCTGGAGCTGTTACCAAGTTTCGTAAACATGATTTGCTTAATAATGGGATCCACATCTGCTTCATAATTGACATCCATAGGATTCAGGGTCAGAAGCTCTGGAAACTTGTGAATATCTGTGAACTCAAACACTTTCTCCTTATGATCCTTTTGGAATACCAACAATCGATTATCGGCTGTCACGAGCCAAAAAAGAATTTCGCTCTTGCTATTTTCTGTTTCGCTCACAGGCGTGCCTTCAGAATCTCGTTTGACGGCACCGCTACCCAAATGATTCAGCAACGAGGACTCGCAAATCCACCCATTGGTGAAAATCAAGTAGTTCAGCAGTGCCGGCAAATCAAGCTTCTCAAGTTTGTCTCCCTTAAATTCTAAAATATCAAGCTCACCACTTTTCATAATCACTACAATGTAGTTGCCGTAGATGAAAGTAGAGTTGATTTCAAAATCATACTCTAGCGCGACAACCTCCTGGAACTTGAATGTGAAAACTGTCACTTTGTACGGCGTCACCTGGACGATCCGGTTCTCAGCATCTGTGGTGATCGTGCCAAACTGAAGAGTGTATTGTTTATTGTTGAAGTCCTTGGAGTAGAGATTCTTGTAATTCTTATTCACTTGGAACACTTCTGTCTTGAAGTTTGTGAAATCGGTTGTGATGAGATATCTAGTGAAGCCGCTTTTGTTCGTCAAAGTCCACACCTTGTCGACATTGGAAAATTTCAACGTCGACTTCACGATAGGCTTGATGGTTGGAGAGTACACACAAGCACAGCTATTCCGGCCCACTCCACAGGCACCAACAAGAACATCTTCATTATAGTTCGGATTTGGCAGCCCCATGATTTTCTGCTCTGTGGAAACTCTGCCTATAGAGAAATCGACTAGAGGCCCACAGTTTTGTATACTGTCCATTTTCTTGAATTGCGAGTTGATCAGAGAGCTCTTGAGACTTTTTTGGTCTTCCTCATCGTATAGCCAGTCATCATCATCCTTAGTCTCTTTTTTGCCACCATTCTGCTCTTTAGTTTCCTGAGGAAGCACACCACTCTTACTGCTAATCCGGATAAGTAAAGAGTCCCCGCCTTGACAGCAAACAAAAAAGAGGTCTAATGAGGGAACGCTGGTGATCATTATCGGATGGTTTACCGCTATGCCTTTATAATTCGCAGTGTCGACTTTTTGAAGACCAGTGATAGTGGAGTTGCCTCCAATTTTCTCAAAATTCAACTGGTAAAACTCGCCAGACTCAGTGATTATCAGAACCTGGTCTTCTTTCACAAGCCCAACACGGGAGTTTTCTAACATTAAATCGAGCGACGACTGATCTTTGAGCTTCAAATTTGAAATGTCGGTGAAATACTCGTTTGTATAAACACCTCTGATAGACCCAAGGGAATTGACATGGATAATTTCGTTCGACCCAACCAGTAAAAATCCATTCGTGGGACTTTCTAGAGGACATATATAGTCAATGTCGTAAGGCAAGTTAGTAAGTTCCATGATGGTGGAGGCTTTCTTATTTTCAAGATCCAGCGACAGAACGATCACTTTCAGCGTATCCTTGGCCTTGGAGAGGTGTCCAGCCCATGTCATTGTCTCAGGGGCATATAGGATTGCCATCGTGGGCTCCCTATAGGAATGCAAAAATTGATAATCCACAATGTTTCTGATATCTGGATATAGAGAAGAGGCATTTAGAATAAAGCTCTCCGTAAAAAGCTTCTTTTTCTTTTTCACGTCCTTAGCTTCTTCTGCATCATCTTTCAGCTCTTCCTCCTCCAAGTACTCTTTGTAGAATGGCAGGAAAGTGAACAGCTCGTTGAGTCGTAAACATGTGCATAGAGAGTTTGGGTCGGTTCTATGCTGGATACTAGTCTTCTCGAGCTTTTCCACCGTCAATGCATCTAGCGCTGTATCGTAGTAGTGTAAGCTGACAGTGGAAATGGCATGCAATTGAGGATCCCATTTGATAACAGACACTTTTGCCAATTTCGTGGAAATTATCAAGTAGTCCAACGACTCGTTCTCGTTGGATCTGAATTTGTCTATGTTGATTATTTGTCCATTCAATCTGTACTCGCCGATAAGCAGAAGTTTATATCTAAGCTCCTGAATCAGATTGGTCATAAGCGCGTCTCCCAAAAACGACTCAGATTCACCGAGCATCTGATTTATCTCGTTGTCTCCTTCGTCGTCGTCGCCATCCTGCAGTTCGAGTTCGACGATTTCAAAGATCTGAAGCATATTCCCTTTGGACACAACTAGATTGTGGCTTTTGGGAGATACAAAGTTGCAATAAGTCGAGCCCAGGCATGTTGTGGGGTCGACGAATTGGTGAAAAGTATTCATATTAAACAAAAAAAAAATATAATTTCTAAACAAACTTATAAAAAGGTGAGAGCGTTTTCTTAATTGGCTTTCTCAGTTTTCCAACCATAAGTTGTAGCGAGTCTCTTTGCCAAATGCTCGCCAGCAGTTAGAGAGACTCCGTGCTTGGCGAGATAGTGAGCAGCTCCCCGTCCAGAAATGGAAGAGACTTTCTCAGAGGGAACCGGCTCCAATAGGGTGTCGTCAGCCGGATGGACGAACAGGACAATCGAGTATCGTGGCTTTCCTTCCAGTAATAGTTTGCGAGGAAACCTGACCCTGTGCACTGTGCTTTTCAGGAGGCCATTGGTCCAGTAACACAGCTGATCCGCAATATTAACAATCAAAGGAGGAGCCTGGCCGAGTTTTTGGTATTTTGGAGAGGCCGGGACAAATGGGACCGCTTCCCACTTCCGGCTCACCGGCGACAGGATTTCGAGGCCGTCCTCGTCCTGTCTCTGCAACAGCAAAGTCACACATCCATAATCCGTATGGGCTCCTGCAACATTGATCTCCCCGCAAGTCTCCAGGTCTTTCTCGGTCATTCCTTCCTTCACCGGAGATGGATAGTGTAAAAACCTAAAGGTTGTGCCGCTGGGCCTGGTTGGATCATGACGGCTGGTGAACCAATCCATACCACCTTCCGTCTCATCGATCTGTAGCCCCATGGCCATCAAGCGCAGCATACTGAAGAGAGACTCGCGGAGTTTGATCAAGGTGGCTTGAATAATCTTCTTGTTTTCGGGCTTCTCGAAAACAGAGGGAATCTCGTCGCTAGTAAGTTCACCTTTACTCATATCAACCTTCGCAAAATTGAACGCTTCTTTGGGGTCACCAATAGGCTTTCCCAGATCGTCCTCTTCGAGATTCTCAACGCCGATTCCGGTGTAACCATGGTTGGACTCGTCGATCTTATATTTTTGTTTCTCCTCGAATGGGAGTTGAAAAAAATCTCTAGATAAGCCAAAAAGCTGATCAACTTGCTCTTGGCTGAGCCCGTGCCCTTCAACCATCAAGAAACCTTGTGTAGAGGCAGCATGAAGGAGCTTATCAGCAGTTTGCTGGTTGATCTCACTGATATCGACAATTTCCAATGGGTTCTCAGCAGCAGTCATGGAGGCAGGTAATACTAATCGTCGAGATAATAATTATTTTTCTCGCTGATAATCAAACGATTTTTTACAGGTCGAATATTTTATAGAAGAAATTAAAATGAACAGAGACTTATACATTGAATATATACGTCACCTAAGGTCAGATTGCATCAGCTTTATTTCTTAGCAGCCTTTTGAGCAGCCTTGGTGACCTTTCCGGCACCAGCAGCAGTCTTGTCAACAGACTTGATGACACCGACGGC